CATCTCATCCCGCTTCCATCTGCCTTGACTGACTTCACTTTTTCCACCTAATAAAAAGGAACACTAGCCTGGTACTGGTGTAATACTAGCTACTCAGGAGACTGAGATCTGGGGACTGTGGTTCAAAGCTAACCTGGACAGGAAAGTCCGTGAGACTCTTACCTCCAATAAACCACAAGAAAATTGGAAGTGGCCCTGTGGCTCAAAGTGGTACAGCACTAGCAATGAGCTGAAGAGCACAGGGACAGTGCCCAGGCCCAGAGCTCAAGCCACGCGACTGACAAAAAAAAAGGGGGGGGCTAGGGAGGGGGGAAGGAGGGGGGAGTGTGTGTGGGGGGAGATGGGAAGGGATAGGAAGGGGAAAGAAAGGAGGAGGCAACAATGCTTGATAAGAAATGTACGCATTGGGCTGGGAAGGTGGCTCAGTGGCAGAGCGCTTTCCTTGCATGCCTGAGGCCCTGGGTTCGATTCCTCAGCACCACATACCACATAAGCAAAAAGAAAAACACCGGAAGTGGGGCTGTGGCTCAAGTGGTAGAGCTCTAGCCTTGAGCTGAAGAGCTGAGGGACAGCGCCCAGGCCCAGAGTTCAGGCTCCACAACCCGACCAAAAAAGAAAGAAAGAAAGAAAGAAAGGAAGGAAGGAAGGAAGGAAGGAAAGCAGGCAGGCAGGCAGGCAGGCATGCATTACCTTGCCCATGTAATTGTAACCCCTCTGTACGGTATTTTCACAATAAAAAAAAAGAACCCTAGTTGTAAGGGGGGTGGGGGGAATGATCCATTTCCCCTTCAGCTGGGTTTTAGGAAACTTGGTTGCCTTTCCCAGGCTTTCCTCCCAAACGAAACCTGTTGGTCTGTTCAGTTTTCCTTTCTGTTCTTTTTCTTTTCTTACATCAGTGTTGTGTGCTGAGTATAGACGCATGCATTGGGTAACTCTTTTCTTTCTTCTTCTCTAAATGCTAAAATGATGCTTAAAAGAAGAAGTACTATCTTCCAGCCATGAAACAAGTAAGTACTCCAAGGAAGATAGAGCTGAAAGATGCAAATGGTATCAGTCTTTGAAGTCTTTGAAGTTTTTGGCTCCTCCTCATTCCTGATGAGGAGGAGCCAGGAGCTGGTGCTCATGCCTATAATCCTAACTACTCCAGAGTCTTTAGATCTGAACATAACTGTTGAAAATTAGCACAGTATAGGAAAATCTATGAAACCCTTATCTCCATATCACCAGTAAAAAACCAGAAGTGGAGCTGTGGCTCAAATGATAGAGCTTTAGAATTGAGCAAAAATAGGTAAGGGACAGTGCCCAGATCAGACCCCAGTATTGGCACCAAAAAAAAAAAAAAAAGTGGTCCACATATTAGCAGCTTTGTGATTACCTGAAAACTGCTTCAAAAAACAATAGTAGACTCTCTGACGACTCAAAATTGAACTCAAATTTGATTTAAACACGATCTCAGTGTGTACTGTGAATATGAAGTCTTTAGCTTTAGAAAAGCCAGCAGTAACGGTCAGTTTCCTTACCCTGATTATTTCCCAGCATGTTAAATGTCATGTGGATCTAGCAACACAAGATGCAAATTCCTTTCTGGCCTTTTCATTCCACCCCACCCCTGGAAAACACATTCAGATAGAACTTCTGGGGTTTGGCAAGGCAATGAATGTAATTCTTAGCTGTCAGAATGCCACACTCCAGAGAATGTCAACATCACTCTGAAAGGACTCAGCTACTATGAAGGTGCCAAGAAGAAGCCTCTAACACCTTTAGTCACATCAATGTGGAGCTTAGTATCCTTGAAAGGAAAAAGATGAAACTCTGGACTGACAAATGGTGGGGAATCAGAACTTGCTGTCATTGGGATTGTCTGTAGTCACATACAGAATACAGCCAAGAGTGTTAAGCTGAGCTTCATTATAACATGAGGTCTGTGTGCACTCACTTCTTCAACAACATTGTTATTCCAGAGAATAGGTCTCTTTGTTGTTGGTGGTGATGGTCATGGGGCTTGAACTCTGGGCCTGGGCGCTGTCCTTCAGCTCAAGGCTAGTGCTCTACCACTTCAGTCACAGAGCCACTTCTGGTTTTCTGGTTGTTGTTTTTTTTTAATTATTGGAAATAAGAGTCTCAGACTTTCCTGTCTGAGCTGGCTTTGAACCACGATCCTCAGATCTCAGCCTCCCGAGTAGCTAGGATTACAGGCATGAGCCACTGGTGCCCGGCAAAATCTTACCTTTCTTTGGTAAGAAATGTATACTCACAATTCAGATGAGGATAGATATTGCTTCTTAATATCTCATGCCCAGAAAGAGGAATTAATCCTTGAAGGGAATGATATTGAGACTTGTTTAAAATTTGCTGCTTTCATTAAGCAAAACATAACAGTTAAAAACAAGGACAAGGGGGAAAAGTGGGAGAAAATGAGGGAGGTTGTAACACTTGAAAAAGAAATGTACTCCTTACCTGACTATGAAACCCCTCTGTACATCACCTTTATAATAAACTTTAAATTAAAACAACAACATCAAGAACAACCAGGTGTTGGTGGCTCATATCTGTAATCCTAGTTATTCAGGAGGCTGAGACCTGAGGATCAAAGTTCAAAGCCAGCAAGAGAGGTAAAGTCCTTGAGATTCTATCTTCAACTAGAGAGCTACGCTGGCACAATGGCCCAAATGGTAGAGCCATGAGCATATAGGTTTAGCAAGAGCATGAGGTCCTGAATTCAAATGATATTATCAACTACAAACTAGTTTTCCAATATATCTGTTTCTGAAAAAGCAACACAAGCTAATAAGATCCAGTTGCACATCCTAGATTAATAAACTCACCGTGATATTTTCATGATGTTGTAAAATAAATGTACTACTTTTTTCTAAATTATAAACAAGATCTCTAGATATCTAAAGTATAAACAAGATCTTAGGAAAATTGGAGACATATCACTCTCAGCTACTTGCTATGAATATATTGTTCTTCTGATAAAAGAGTAAATTTAGGGAAAGAATTTCAATGTTATATTAAAGTGAGAGTTTTACTAATGATGCTGGTTTCTCATGCATGATGAGCAAATAAATGATTTCCAAGTAGCATAGAAGCCACTGAGGCATGATTTTTTTCCCATAGCAGGTTAAGTTTTGCTGTTCCTATCAAGCTACAGGGAACCAAGTACTATGCAAACTGCCTACGTGTTCATATTATCCTTCAGCTCCGATTACCAATTGGAGCTGTGTCGTTACTCATGCTGTCTTTGAAGTGGTAGTTTCTCTTATCCATAAATTATTCTAATTTCTCATAATTTAGCAACTACATTTCCTCACATGCCTCCTATGAAGAAACTTCACATTCTTTATAGTAAGAATACTATATTTACTAGACTACTTCCTCAATTTTTGGCGATCTCACACTTTTTAAAAGTCTAAAGGAGTTTTTATTCAGCTTGTTAGCATTTTTGTTAGTTGTATTTGTTTTAAGCACCTTAGGCAGGTGCTGGTGATTCACACCTGTAACCCTTTCTATTCAGGAAGCTGAGATCTGAGGATTGCAGTTCAAAGCTAGCCCAGGCAGGAAAATCCATGAAACTATTCAGGAAGCTGAGATCTGAGGATTGCAGTTCAAAGCTGGGCCAGGCAGGAAAGTCCATGAAACTCTTATCTCCAATTAACCTCCAGAAAACTGGAAGTGGCGCTTTGGCCCAAACAATGCTAGCCTTAAGCAAAAAGAGCTCAGGACAGCAACCAGGATCTGAGTTCAAGACCAAACCAAAAAAAAAAAGTTTATCTTGATCCTATTTTCATGAGTTTATCTAATAAATTTCTAAACCACTTGCAGAATAAAGCATCAGTACTTACTATATTAAAAAACATTTATAAAACACCTACATTCTGGATTGAATGCCTAGAGGGCATCAAGGCAAACACTATCAATGTGTATGTATCTATTAAATATCTATCATTTCCAGAGATTCAGCACTATTATAGATGAAAAACAGGTAATGAATGAAGAGGAAATACATTAGAATGGTCACTGGCAAAAATTCCCACCTGAAGAGGTGAATTTAAAAGTTATTAGCATAATTAAGTTTTCTGATCCAAATCCAAGTAATCATCATGAAGCCTGATCAAGCTTCCTTTTCTGAGGAGTGCCATGTTCACCTCAGTCTTTGACAAGCTACCTGAGAAAAACCATCCCTTTAGTAGGCCCAGATAGCAAAACTAAAATATTTCTAAGTATTCTAAGGAGGTAATAATCCCTTTCCTTAAATTCACTTTCTCAACTGTGCCCAATGGCTGCCTTCAGGCTTAATTCCTAGCCCGAGATTATTCCTGCTCCTAGATGGTGTTATCTTCAGGGTTGAGAGACAGAAACTAAACACAAATGCAAATCATCCTTCCATTCACATCGCTTCCTCATGATAAATAACTAAAAAGTTCAAGATCCCTCCCGAGCTTTATCATGAGCTCAGTGGGGGCATTCATCACTTTATCCTGCAGCCTCGCTGGCCCGTGTGGGCAAACAGAAGTTGTTTCCTAAGTATAAGTTGACTAAATCAACGAGCTTTGGGATTTCACTTAGCTACTTGAAGGGTTTCATGCTTCTTTCGTGGCTATAAAGTCACCAAAATGAATTTGTGCGTCGGGTGATCACAAAGGCAGCCCTTTTCTTTAAAACCAGGGCAAGAATCAAACAATCTAATAGTCACTCTACTATTCAACACTGCGCATGCGCCGTTCGCCGCCGCCGCCGCCGCCGCCGCCGCCGCCGCCGCCACCACTCCCCTCCCTACCCGCCACTTCTGGAAAGCCTCGCTCGCCAGTGTAGTAGCTTCGCGCCTGCTCAGTTCCGGGCTCCACACGCCGGGAAGGAGCGGAGCCCAGCCCACAGGAAGTGATCACTGCGCGTGCGTCCCTCCTCCTGGAGGCTCCGGCTAGCCGCGCAAGCGCACAGGCACCATTTTGACCGTAAACATCCTGCCGATTTGAACCGAGGATTTGGGCGGCCGGAAGAGCCGCGGCGTAACGGCAGCCATCTTGTTTGTTTGAGTGAATCGGAAAGGAGGCGGCGGCAGAGCGGCGTCGGGAGCGGCTCCGCAGCTTCACTTCTCCAGAGTTCCCCCTTTCCCCGCCCCCTCCCCCGACCCTTTTCCCCCCTCCCCGGGCCACGCAGCCCGCCCCGCTCGCGGCGGAGAACCGGTAAGCGGCCCGGCCGACCCCCTGCTTTCGCTCCGCTCCCTCCCCCCACCCCTTCCCGCCGTCGGGGCGGCCGACTCCGGGGTCCGGCCGGGCGGGCTGGAGGGCGGCCCTCGCCGCGCCCCCGCGTGCCGCCGCCCGGGGCCTCCTCCGCCCCGGGGCCGCCCTCGCCCCGCCCGCGGCGGGCATCCGCGCCGGTCCGGGTCGGGAACGGCCGCCGGGCCTCCGGGGGTGGGCGGGAGGCGGCCGCGCGCCGCCGCCCCGGGGAGCCGGGCCCGCTCGGGTCTCCGGCGGAGCCGCGGGGAGGGAGGAGGTTTGAACGAGCCCGCTCTGGAGACCGGGCCGCCTACTCCACGGGTGAAAATGGCTGTCGGCGGGGACGCGGGATCCGGGGCGGGAGCGCGCGGGGCCGGCCTGGCGCCGCCGTTGGTGCCAGGCCCGAGGGCAGCCCGGGGTCCGCGGGGCGCGGGGGATGGGGAGCGCGCGGGGCCGGGGGGGGGGGGAGGCGCTCCCCGACCCCTGGCTGCCGCTTCCCACCACTCTTTAAAAGAAACTCAGGTTGGACACACACACACACACACAGAGGTTAGATCGGTGGGAAAGGAGACAAGAACTCGTCTCTGAGTGTCGTAGGACACGAGTAGAACAGCTTTCAGTTTAACTTTTCTAGAACTTACTTAGGTTGTGGGGTGCGGTGCAGATGCTCTCTTGCGGGGTGGAGAGGGGGGGCTTGGCCCATGACACTGTCCTGTTAAGGTGCCAGACTTAGCGGCCTTCAAACTTGGAAGAAGGAAAGAGGGGTTGGTTTGGTCAGTCTTCCCAGATCCGTCTGATTTCTTAGGCTGTCTTCCACGTTCCAGAAGCATGGGTGTTGTGAAGGGCTCTCTTCACCAGGGAAAGTATTTGCTGTCACTCGACTTAGAATACAGTTAACCATTGGTATCCAGTCACCATCGGTTTTCAGGGAAGGAGAATCCTGTTTTCTTAATGAAAATAATTGCCAGAGAGACCAGCCGAAGAAACTTTCCCAAGTAGTAAAAGTCACTTAACACCTTTGTTTAATGTTGGAAGTCGCAAAACGCTTTTGAGAAGGTTGATAAGGATGAAAGCAGTGGCCAATGATTAAATTATTTGACAGTGCTGAAAAGGTAACAGCAATGTATAACTAATGGACATAGTGCAGTCTGTGCACAAGTCATTTCAGTAGAGCATAATCTTAATGTTGCTGTATCTATAAAGGCTGTATATTAGTATACATAAAACGAAGTTGTCTACTTAGGATTGTGTATGAGGTAGAGTATTAAAGTTGAGATTTTTGAGAAATTGTTTTGTGATATAATAGACATTGTGCTGGCTAAGTGATGTATATCTTTCAAAGTTACTATTTGCATCAGCTGTGGCACTAGTTAGATGCGCTGTAACATGATTTTTTAAAGTATTCTTAGTAAGTTTTCCCACTTTTTAGATGAGAAAGCTAAAGATTCAGATTTTATTATTTTGCTTTGTTTTGAGATAGGAGACAAATCTCATTGTCAAGCCCAGGCTGGCCTCCAACTGAAGATCCTCCCTTCTGCCTGGGCTTCCTGATTGCTGAAGTTACAAACCTGTTAAGCTCAGCCTAAAATTTAGAACTTATTTACCTTTAGAAACAGCCATGTAGGGGCTGGGAAGGTGGCTCAGTGGTAGAGCGCTTGCCTTGCATGCATGAGGCCCTGGTTTCCATTCCTCAGCACCACACAAGCAAAAAGAAAAAAGCCGGAAGTGGTGCTCTGACTCAAGTGGTAGAGCGCTAGCCTTGAGCTGAAGAGCTGAGAGACAGCGCCCAGGCCCAGAGTTCAGGCCCTACGACCAGACCCAAAAAAGGAAAAGAAAGAAACAGCCATTTAAAGAAAAGGCTGAATTTAAATCTAGGCCTGTCTTGATTGTGAAAACCCTGGATCTAATACTAGGACTAAAAGGGAGTGAAGCTGCAATGTGCAAATTTAGAAAAACCTACTTACTCTTCCTCCTCCCTCAACACCTCAAAGGGTTTCATTTTTATATAAGTTAACTTTCCACGTTTTCCAAGGTTAGGAAACTCCCAAAAACCATTCTTTTATAGTATAGAGGTTAAATGCTTAACTTGCTAGTTAAGGGCAAAGCAGATTTTGTCTTGATTTCCAGTGTGGCCATTACTACTTTGAATAGGTGATTTGTATGTATGCCCAAGTTAATCTGTTTGTTACTGTTAAGCAAGGTGCTTGAACTGTTCGTATTATGTGTACATAGTATGTATGTCAGGCAGTACAAAAAGGTGCACCTCACTTTCCCTGAAGATCTACTTTGCAAAAAGGGATGATTGGTACTTTTTTTGTGTACTTGGTATTTTTTTGTGTACTGTGTAGATATTTTATACTTGTTCAAGCAGATTTTAAATGTATACATTTGCTCCGGGTTTGTAGGGTTCAACATAGGTGGTGGATTCAAACAACTACAGGTCAAAAGTAGCCATGTTTTATTTTATCTGCCTGCCTGCCCGCCTGCCTTCCTTCCCCCCCTCCCCCTTGGTCAGTCTTGAGGCTTGGACTCTGGGCCTTGGGCGCTGTCCCTCAGCTCTTCAGCTTGAGGCAAGTGTTCTACCACTTGAGCCACAGCACCACTTCCAGTTTTCTGGTGGTTTATTGGTGATAAGAGTCTCAGGGACCTTCTGCCCCTGCTGGTTTTGAACCGCCATCCTCAGATCTCATCTGCCTGAGTAGCTAGGATTACAGGCATAAGCCACATGTGCCCAGCTCAGCCATACTTTATCATGGAGTAGTCCTCTTCATGGCTACTGCGTTCCTTTTGTTTCGTTTTTACCCGTTGAAAGTTTGTCAGAACTCTGTGTTGAGCACCTTTATAGTACCATTTTCCCCATCATTCAGATTATGATTACCATTTCTTTATAAATAATACTTCAAGGCATACATGTACTGGGAATCCAAAAAAAAAACTTACGTGTCTTTGTTGTAGTAATCTAGAACCAAACATATCTGAGATATGCGTGTGTTCTGGTAAAAGGTGGGATTGATGTCGCTTATCTGCAGAAGATGGTTCCAGGCACCTGGATGCCTCTGCCCAGCCTTCTGTCATCACCAGAAAAATACCTGAATATTCAAGCTCTGTAAATAAAGTGGTATAGTGTTTTCAAGCAACATTCATTCATCTTCCAGCATACAACATAGCCTCTAGATTGCTTATAATACCTAATCCAGTGTAAATTTTGTGTAATGGTGATTATGGTTTAGGGAATAAGGAAAAGGAAGACAGTGCGTACATAGTCCGTACAGAGTTGTTTTTGGCCCACATGTGGGTGAATCTTAGGATGTGGAACCCTAAGAGAAGGAGGGTAACCCTGTTTATGTATATATATGTAGTGAGAGCAGCAAAAGGCTGTCTACCCATGCATGCCCTTCCAACAACTCGGAATTTGTCTTAGAGATTCCTGAGTTGGTGCAAATTCTGCATCAGTGTTTAAGGCTGCCTGGTATTATTTTGTATTCATCATTTTCAGGTCAGTCATAATCACGTAGGCTATTTCTAGTGTTTTGTTAAAAGTTAGACTGGCAAGGCAGCACAGTGTTGTAGTTTGAAGTGTAAGCACTGACTTAAATTTTTTCTTTGTTGTTTTCTCATGTAAAATGAACCTATAGGACACTTATTAGAAAATTGGATTATAAAACATTTGGTGTGTGTTTCTCTCACTAGTTTACATAACTACTGTCCTAATAGAGGGGCTGAATACTGCTAATGGCTGACATTGTAGAGGAAAACTTAGCTTCAGTTTGACTTTGCTTCTTTGGAATAATCTTAACTTGCTCTTCCTTGAATTAGTATATTCTAAAATGCCAGTCCTCAGGACATTTTTTTTCCCTAAGGATTAATTGAAGAAGTTGCTTGTTGCTTTAGAAAATGATTGAGAACTCATGGAATTTTTGGGCTCTGCTGTGGTATCAAATTCAGGCTTTCTGCCAAGGCTTTTATAAAAGATTATAAGAATTTAGAAACTTCCAAAAGTATAGAGATGGCTTTTTAATGTTGGATAAATGTTAGTATTACCAAGAAAAAATTGGCTTGCAAAGGCAACGATTACATTTTCTCTTTATTTAGATTTAAGCCAATAGTTGATCCACCACTATTCCTTCAGTTCAGCTTCCTGCAGTTACTAGAGTGATTTCCTCTTGCTAATCGTTTCCCAGATTTAATTTTAGCTGACTCTGCTTTACTTGTTCCCCACCCCCCAATCCCATGCCAAGAAGGCATCTGTTTAGGAATCTCTGCCTGTACATAGCTGGAATATTTAGGCCTGGTGCTCTGCCTAGCAGCTGAACTGATGCTTACAAACTACTGACACCTGTTGAATAGTGCCAGCAGTTTATGTGTGTCAAATTATGTGGTGTATCTCATTTATGTACTCATTTAATACATATTTAGTAATTGTCACATGGCAAACAGGATTTTTTGTTGTTGTTTACTTGGGACAGAAAGTTGTGTCTGTGGGGAAACTTGGGATATCACAGTGACTATATTTCTAAGAACACGCTGCCACATTGGATTTTAATAAAAATTCTCTACATTCTTATTACACTGCAGGGGCAGCTTAGATTTTGCTTTAACAACCTTTCTAAGGCTTGAAGGAGACACATTGATTTGAATATAGGAGTTTTTCTTCCATCAGGAGCAGTATATTATGATCTATAAAATACTAGGTAAATAAGGGACTTTTGAAGTGCTAGTATTTAATATTTAAACTTCAGCAAGGGTGAGGAACTTTTTTTTTTCTGCCCAGGGTCACTTGGATCTTTATAACATTATTTGAGGGCCATAGAAAATTGTGAAAATAGGCTGATGTCCACAAGCAGCAAAAGAGAAGTGTATGGAAAGCATACGTATGTATTTATACAATTCTACCAAATGATTGTACAATCTTCCTCATCCCTGCCTTAAAACATTTGTTCTGGGGCTGGGAATGTGGCTTAGTGGTTGAGTGCCCACCTAACACGCATGAAATCTTGGATTCCTCAGTGGCCCATACACAGAAAAAGCTGGAAGTAGAGCTTTAGCTCAAGTGGTAGAGTGCTAGCCTTGAGCACAAAGAGGTTCAGAGGCAGCACCGAGGCCCTGAGTTTAAGCCCCATGACTAATTTTTTTAAAAAAGCATTTGATCTGAATTCTTTCTAGTACTTGTTTTTTTACTTCAAATTTGGGAGAAGGAGGTTACAGTGTTAGACAGTTAATGAAGCTCCCCACCTCATAGAAAACTACTGTGAATTAATGATCTCTTAGGAGTCTTTTTGTTATTAAAATATAACAGATGGTAAACATGGCTTGCTGTTGCTCTGTTTACACTGCGTCTCACCTTTCCAGTTATTTTTACCATTCAAGAAATCGCTTGCCTATGATATGTTCAGGTTGGAAAGAACAGGCATACTTTTAGTTGAAGATACAATAAGGAAATCCTAAATTTAAGAAGTGTAATTACTCTGGGCCTTTTATTTTGTAAGCTAACCAAAGATTTTTTTACCTACCAGCACACGTGTGAGATTCTTAACAGTGTTTAGTGTTTTCTGTTTTTCCTAAACTTCTGTAATAAGTATATGGTGTCAACTAATTGGGTATCAGTCTGCATTTTCCTAATGGCTAATCACATTGAACATTTTTTTATGTTCTTGTTTGCATTGAATATTTCTGCAATGGCAATTTCTCTTTTGCTCATTTTCTAATTCAATTTGGGGGGGGGGGAGAGCTTAAGATTTGTTTCCATATTTGAGTCCCAGTCAGATTTGTGGCTTTTGTCAGCACCAGTGACCCCTATAATCCTAATTAATTAGGATGCTGAGGTCTGAGGAGCCTTGTTCAAAGCCAGCCCTGGCAGAAAAGTCTGTGACACTCTTATTTCCAGTTAACCACCAAAACCTTAAAGTGGTGCCATCCATGAACAAAATGTTAAGGGAGAGTGCCCAGGCCCTGAGCTCAAGCCTCCATAGCAGCGTCTCCCACCCTCCCCCACAAAAAAGATAATGTGGTTGTATATATTTCTTCCCAGTCTATAAGTGTTTGGGCCTTTTCTTAGAGCAAGAATTGTTGAATCTGACTAATTTATTGACTAGTTTTCCATTATGGATTGTGTTTTGGGTGTGTTATCTGGGAAAAAAAATTTACCACATTATTTGTACCAAAAGACTTTTCCTTGTTTTTCTTTTCTCTGAAAGTTTTGTAGTTTTATATTTAAATCTGTTGTCTAATATGAATTCTTAACATGGTATGTTCGTTTGGGTTGAGATTGTTCTGTGAGGGAGGGGCTGTGGATGACAGTTCAGCCACTCCAGTCCTATTTGTTGGAGACTATTCCTTCTCTATTGCTTTTGTATTTTTTTATTTTAAAAAATAGTTGGACTTATCTATGAATGTGTTTCTGCCACTGACTTATAGATATGTATGTAAGTGTTGAAGTCAGATAGACTAATTCCCATTTTCATCATCTTTGAAATAGTTGTAGCTATTTCATTTCTCCATGTTGGCTAATCTTGTCCAAAGAAAACCTCAGGAGATCTTAATAATTGTGTTTGTTTTATTAAAACTTAATATATACTTACCAAACAGTTACAGTATAGAATAACTGCCCTGGAGAAAACAATCTTATCCTAAATAATCAATATTTATAGCAGCTTGAATATTAATAAAACCTAAACAAATGTCTTTTAAAGGTAAAAGGTTAAACAGTGGTAGGTTGCTTGTCTCATAGAATGCTATATAGCAGTAGATGAGACGTGCTATTGATAAATGCTAACACAGTAGATGGATCTCAAGAACATATGACCATATAACATTCTCAAGATGACAAGATTCAAAATATACAGAAGAATGCCAACGTTTAGGAATGGTAGGAAGCAAGTGATGGGTATAACAGAATTTTATGGTGTTAGAATAGTTCTGAATGTTACTTATCTTGGTCTGGTCATAAACATAGACAGAACTTTATTTGGAAAAATAAGCTGTGAAAGGGGAAAATTAACAGTTTGCATAGCTACTGTAATCTCTGAGGTTTACAGGCCATCTTTTGCTGAAAGAAAAGTAAAGTTTCAGAAAAGTAAAGTCAGCAGACAAGTACACTTCACTCTACTTAAAGCTCTGTGTGTATGAGACTCTACTTTTTTGTCTGTTTTTCTAAATCTATAAAAATAGGACCAGAATACTTGATTAACTTTGCTTAGTGAACTATGAAGTGCTTAGCAGTTTATTATTACAAAGTAACAATTGTCTTTTAACTGAACACTATTCATTTTAATGGTATTTTTAAACCCCATTGAAACCTGTGCCTGAATCCTTTTCTTAGACTTTATTATTTATTTATGTATTTTTATTTTTATGATAATGGAGATTGAACCTACAATCTCATACATTACTAGGCTTAGACATTTTTCTACTGTCATGAAAGGTTTTGGTCAGTAAACTGACCATTTCTGTCAATAATCAGGATAAAAATGAAATTAATGCTTTATAGAACTTCTAAAAGAATTCTTTATGAATTTTTTACGATAGTTTTTAAGATAAGGCATAAATAGATTTGATTCTTGTCTCTTTTCCCTGTTGCTCAATTATTTGGAGATCTTTTTCTTGTCATCAAAAATTAATACTGTGTTTTGTAAAATACATTTTATACCTTCAGGCCTTTGATTTTTCCAGGGGTTTTTGTTTGTTTGTTTTTACTTCATAAATACTTAAGTTCTCATGTGGTACTATACTTTTTTTTCTTCCCACAGGTTTCCTCTTGTTTCATAGAAAACCAGAATCATGTTCTACGCACATTTTGTTCTCAGTAAAAGAGGGCCTCTGGCCAAAATTTGGCTGGCAGCCCACTGGGATAAGAAGCTAACCAAAGCCCATGTGTTCGAGTGTAATTTAGAGAGCAGTGTGGAAAGTATCATCTCACCAAAGGTATGTTTGATGTTGGTATTTTTATTCATTTTATTGATATCTGAAGTAGAACTTACAAAAAACAGTCCTTGATATCTCTGTATATTGGAGGCAATGAAAATCCATAGGTTTTTCCCATTTTCATTGTTTTGTCTTTTATCACCTTTAGATGTGTTTGGATCCAACTGTTTGATACTCTTTTTTAAAATTCTCTTAAGCGCACAGATATTTTTTATTTGCCTATTTTAATAAGAAATATGCATGAGGTGGGGCAATTATTTCTAGGTATTTTTATACTTCTGTGTAAGTGATAAGAAAATTACAAAATGTTCAAAATGAGGAACTATTGTTAATTAAAAGGAGTTTGGGGGGGGGGTGGGCCACATCCAGCCACCTTACCCAGCTTAGCAGACACTATCTACACCACTTGGTTTACCTGTGCCTCACAGGTCTACATACCAATTCTTAAGAATGCTAAGCTTATAAAGCTTCTGCAGTTGCTGTGCCCATTTGCAGGAACTTCCACTAAATCTTTGCTCCCTTATTTATGTTTGCCTCTCACGAGGATGAAAGCTTCTAAAGTAACCTTATTTGATTTGCTTTGTTTACAAGTGTGTTCCAGGAGTAGTTGTTACTGATGCTCTCTTAAGGTTTTGTTTGTTTGTTTTGTTTTGTTTTTGGGTCCAGTCGTAGGGCCTGAACTCTGGACCTGAGTGCTGCCCCTCAGCTCTTCAGCTCAAGGCTAGCGCTCTACCACTTGAGCCACAGCGCCACTTCCGGTTTTTTTTTTCTTTTTGCTTATGTGGTGCTGAGGAATCGAACCCAGGGCCTCAGGCATGCAAAGCAAGCGCTCTACCACTGAGCCACCTTCCCTGCCCATCTTTTGTGTATTATTGTATATTATAATATTTGGTAATTAGACTATATTGGGGAGAAGCTGTATTTGTAGCTGTACCTCAAATTATGGTTAAACAGGACCATAATTTGTCAGCCACAGAACTTAATTGCAGAATTTGAAATAGACTTCACCTGGGATGAAGTGAAGTAATTCAAGTATTTATAATATGTATGATTATAGAGGAAGCTGCTTCTAGATATTCTTTGGAATATTATAATATATGGCATATGTGCTATATTTAGAAAGTTCTGGTTTTTGTTTTAGCACCATTAGAGTTTGAACTCAGACCTCTTACCTGCTGGACTTGTACTCTTATCACTGAGCCATGCCTCCTGCCCTGTTTTTAGCTGATTATTTTTAGGGTAGGTTCTCAGTTCTCAATTGAGCCCAAATCTGCCTTCTTATGCTTCCCACTGGGATAATGATAATGTTCCATTCCATGCATGTTCCCTTTAGACCTTTCTGCCTAGGCTGACCTCAAACCACAATCCTGCAGGTCTCAGTATTCCAGGTAGCTAAAGTTAAGTTGTGAACTATAAGTGCCTGCCTCAAAAATTTTAAATTCTAAAACACATTTGTTCTTAGGATTTCTTATACAGAGTATCTAGCTTATATTATAGGTCATTGTTTTGTTTGAACATTATTGAGTTCTTCTCTTGTATAGTTTATATTATTTCTAATTTTTTGAAATTTAACTCTTCTGGTCCCATGGTCCTAACAGTACAGTCATTTAGAATGACAGATAAGTGATACCAAAAAAAAGTCTTTTTTAGCAAATAATTATGAAACATCAATGACTGTATATCTTTTCAAGACACCAAAACACAATCCATGTTAAAAAAATAAAGCTAGATTTTGTTAAAATGCTCATTTCTGGGTCTAGGGATACAGCTAGCTCAGTGGGAGAGTATATACGTACTATATGCAATCCCTGGTACTAAAGAAAAATAAATGCTCTGTGTGAAAGACATCAAGAAAATGAAAAGATAATCTAGACTGGTAGAAAAACTGTATAAAACATACATACCTGTTGAAAAATTGTTGTCCACCAAAGACAGAAAGGACTCTTAAAATTCAACAAGGAGCAGGGAAACTGCAGACTTTTTAACAGACAGCTTGCATAAATCAAGTAAGTTTATTAAAAAGCATTTAATAATAATGTCATTAAAGAAATGCAAATTAAAACAACCAAATGCCACTACTTAAAAGATTAGAATGGCCAAAATAAATCCAAAACACTTAACAGGAAATAGTGGTAAGATGTTGGGCAAGACTCCTTCACCTTCATTGTTAGTAGGAATGAAAAATGATATGGCCATTTTGAGAGAGTTTGGTAGTTTCTTTGCTGAGAAATCGAACCCAGGGCCTCATGCATGCAAGGCAAGTGCTCTACCACTGAGCCACCTTCTCAGCCCTGGTAGTTTCTTATGTTCACTCTTCTCATACAGTCCAATGACCTTGGTCCTTAGTATTTACTCAAAATAGTTGAAAACTTAGTCTTTACAAGCACCTGAAGCGGCTTTTTCATAATTACTAAAACTTGGAGGCAACTAAGATACCCATAAATAGGTAAGTGGATAAAGTCAACTATAGTATATCCAGAGAGTGAAATTATTGTTTTGTGCTTTAAAAAAATAAGCCCAGGCCGAGTTCAAGCCCCATGACTGACCTCTCCCCCCCCCCCCCCAAAAAAAAAAAAAGATAAACTATCATACCATGGACAGACATAAAGGTATCATAAACATGTATTAGGAAAAGCAAGCTAATTTGGGGCTGTATACTGTGTGATGCTTAGCTGTAAGACAGTCTGGTTAAGGCAAAATCATGAGGAAGGTAAAAAAGATAACAGGGTTGGAGCAGAAGGGATGTATAAAAGCAGAAAACGGGAGTTTTTTTGTTGTTTTTCTTTTTAGGGCAGCAACCATTATTTGCCTTAAAGTACAATGGTGTGCCATTTTATGTTCATATTTAACAAATGTTAGACCAAAAGTGGTCCTAATGTAAACTATGGACTTGGGGTAATAAAAGTATGTTGACATCATTTTCCAATTAGAGTAAAGGTACAACTGTGATAAATGACGTGGGTAAAGGAACTTATTCCTGTACAAGGAGTACATGGAAAATCTCTGTAACTCTTCACTCAGCTTTGCTATAAACCTATAACTGCTTTTTGTTTTAAAAGATGTTTCAAGTGTAAACGGCTCTTCTTGAATACGGTTTTTATAACAGTGTCATTTGTATGTATACGTATAGATATATAGGTACAAGAAAAAAATCACATGCACATATATTCAATACATATGCACATTAAAACACAGAAAAGCCTAGGATACATGCCAAAATAATTTATAAGATTATGGGCTTTCAGTTTTCTTTTTTAAAAATAATCATTTAGTGAGCATTTCTTGTTAAATCTGTTCATATTTTTTTAAGTCTTAAGTTTAACAAGAATGTAATTGATGGGTTAAGAAATAGACTTATTTTTATGATTTCTGGTACCCATTGAGGGTTTCTTCTATTAGGATTCTACCAGTTCACACTTATAGTCAAACTGTGAGAATATAGTATTTTTTTTTTTAGTATTTTTTAAAATAGATATGTTTAACTGAGACATAGAAAACTGGGAAGTTGCACTTTTTGAAATTGATTTCTTGCTGCTGCTCTTTACCATCTATATGCCAATAGTGAGAATGTTTTGTGTCAAGAGGGTAACTGTTTCGCAGAGTAGGTACAGAGTACGGTATGGCCCACTAGCACTATGGAAGCATATGGGACAGTGATGTGTATAAGGCATACAGTTCAAGAGTAATGTAAAAGGTAGTAATCACTTTACATTTTTAAGCATTTATAAATTGTGCATTTTGTTTGGGTTTGAACACAGGACTTTGCACTCACTAGGCAAGTGCTGCTCCACCTGAGCCATGTCTTCAACCCTTTTGTTCTTACTACTTTTGGAATAAGGTATTGATTTTTTAGCCCAGGCCAATTTGAACCTCAGTAATCATATTAATGTTTCCCACGTAGTAGGATGACACGTCACCGCATCCAGCTTTTTATTGGTTGTGTAGGAATCTTAAACTTTTTTTACCCAGGCTGCCCCTGGAACCTCAATCCTCCCAATCTCAACTTCCCTAGCACCTAGTATTATTCCAGGAATGAGTTTCCTAAGACTTCTTGAAGAACTTACCTTTTTTTTTTGTCAGTTGTCGGGCTTGAACTCTGGGCCTAGCTGCTATCCCTCAGCTCTAAAGATTAAGGAAAATGTTCTACCACTTGAGCCACAATGCCACTTCTGGTTTTCTGGTTAAATGGAGATAAGAGTCTCATGGACTTTCCTTGCTTGGTCTGACTTTGATCCTAGATCCTCATATCTCAGCCTCCTGAGTAAGTAGCTAGGATAACAGGCAAGAGCCACCAGCGTCCAGCTTGATTTCTTTTTCTTTATTGTAAGAGTGTGTAAGGATAGTTTCATTTTCACTAAGTAAACTGACCTGAAGATTTCTAATGTTTTGTTTTAGTGTGCAATTCTTCTGGGAAAGTACTGGTTTAGTTGGTTACAGTAAATGTCAGATTTGTAGCTGAGTATTTAACTGCAAGCCTATGTGGTCATTCTTTTACCCATTAGAAGAACCACTTGCACACTGTGCAAAGCTATCCTTGAATGCATCTGGTTTTATTATGTTTATTTTATTATGCATACATTCTTTTGCTTATAAGTCTTTTACCTCTGTGAACCAAACAAGTCTAGAAAGCCTTTGCCAAACATCACTTTTGGATATTGCTATAGACAAGGGTAATACCATATAAGACCAAATATAAGTAGATTCTATTTTTCCCTTGGAAGCAGTGTTTTAATTTGAAATTATTGTTGTGTAGGAATTAATCACAGGGTAAGTCATGGATTAGGTTGTTAAAATTTTTGACATTTAAAAATTTATAGCAACAAACTTCATGTTATTCTGTAAATCATAAAGTAACCTTAAGTATGCAGAGAATATGAGAGTTATAAGTAGAGTCCTAAAGGAAATAAAACAGTTTTGTGACCCTAGAATTTTGGTATGCTTCATAGTTGGGGAAGATTATCTAGAGATTATTTATTCTCATTAAATGTTCCTTATATTTAGAAGTTTGAATACTTGTATTTAGATTGTCCTATTTTCCCAAACATTAATTTTTTCTCCCATACTAGATATCTCAGTTAATATTGATCAAGGTCTACCATGAAAGAAGTAAACTAGGTTATACATTTCCTAGTGAAATAAAGATAGAATTGTAACATGTACTTGTTGGTTAGTATATTTTCCATTCAAATAATAGAAAGTAATTGGGATTGGAGGTGTGGCTCAGTTAGTAGCAAGCAAGCCAATGAGCGAAAGCATCAGGTGAGTTCTTGTCTTGGACCAAAAAATGAAAAGAAACTAGTAAAAGACACTTGAAAATTGAATTTATAAAGAAAATAATCAGTTAACTTAATCAGAAGTTTGGAAACAGGTAAATTTAGGATTTGTTAAGCAATTCAAGGATATTACCCAAAGTTTCTCCTTTCCCAGTTTGCAGGTTTCTTGTCCTTCTGATTTCATCATCATGGTTACAGGTGACTTGCAAGCAGCTCCACAGCCTGCCCTACTTACAAAGCAAAAAGACAAGAGGGAAGGAAAACAGACATTCTTTAATTTGGAAAATCTTTCTCAGACACTGTCCTGCAAACTTGACCCTTTTTTCTTTTAGCTGAAGTGTTAACTTGTCTACTCAATAGCAAGTATTGACAGACAAGAATGAAACAATTCTTTAAAGGTTGGGGATGTCTGCTTTTGAAACAAAGCTAGCAGAACTCAGCTAGCAGGGAGAAATAGCTCTGATTTGGCATCCAAGGTATATTCTCCTTAAGGTGTACCATAGCTATCTTCATAACTGTTTTAACTCATAAATCATTAGTGTTTGGGCTATTTTGGTGTGCTATTCAAAGAATTTATGCGTTGACAAAATATAAAGGGTTTATCAGGCATCTTTAAATGATAAAAGGTATAGAAGAAAGTGAGAACTCAATATAAGTAGTACAAAATGCAAGCTTTGTATACAGAACCAAATCTATAAATTAGATTAATATGTTTTATTCAAAGGTCAAGATGGCACTGCGAACATCAGGACATCTCTTACTGGGAGTAGTTCGAATCTATCACAGAAAAGCCAAATACCTTCTTGCAGACTGTAATGAAGCATTCATTAAGATAAAGATGGCTTTTCGGCCAGGTATTGTTTCAGTCCTTCCTTCCCTTCTTCCTCTCTCCTGCCCCTCATCTCTCCACCTTTTATTTTTATGTTTTGATTTTATTTATTTATTTATTTTTTGGTTGGTCATGTGGCCTGATCTCTGGGCCTGGGCGCTGTCCCTCAGCTCTTCAGCTCAAGGCTAGTGCTCTACCACTGGAGCCACAGCACCACTTCCAGCTTTTTCTGCTTATGTGGTGCTGAGGAATCAAACCCAGGGCCTCATGCATTCAAGGCAAGCACTCTACCACTGAGCACCTTCCCAAGCCCTCCACCTCCTTTTCTTATAAGATCCCCATGCTTTGTGTGGAAAATTGCTACGTATATATTCCAGATAGGCATGTTTTGTTTTATTTTCATTGAAATGCATAGGAATATTCTCAGATAGGACAGAGTCTAGGGAGGCAATAGTTGAAGGGAAACCCACTTACATCTTACTGGAGTAATTTTTTTTTTATTTTTTTGGTCAGTTGTGGAGCTTGAATTATGGGCTTGGGCACTATCCCTCAGCTCTTCAGCTCAAGGCGAGCGCTCTACTGCTTGAGCTACAGTGCACTTCCAGTTTTCTAGTGGTTTATTGGAGATAAGAGTCTCATGGACTTTCCTGCCTGGGCTGGCTTTGAACTGTGATCGTCAGATCTCAGCCTCCTGAGTAGCTAGGATTACAGGCGTGAGCCACTGGTGTCCAGTTGGAGTGATTCTTTTTATCCCCCCCTTTTTTTTTAGCAACTTACATAGAACTGAGTTAACAGTTTCATATATTAAAAACTCATAGTTAATATGATAACTTTTAATGATAGCTCAAGTCTTAAGATTTGGGGTTTTCTTAAACAAGCTTAATACTTTGATCAAACTTTTCCTTAAATGTTCTTTGTAAATTCTTGGTTGATCAGACTTTTCCTTAAATGTTCTTTGTAAATTCTTGGTTAATATTTTTGTTCAGGTAAATGAGTAGAGAATTGGACCTTACAGCTAGGATAGTTATCTGAATTTATATGTTGTACTCCTTTGCAGTCGTTCCTGTTTCCCCCTATTAAATTTCACGCTAAATTAGAAAACTATGGTATTTATATGTTCTCTTAAAATTTGAAGTTTAATATATACTAAACACTTAGACTTCTTTTATAAAGCAAGTAGTAATATGGCATATGATAATAGAAAACCGAGTACTGTTTTGCTTGGTTTATCATAGGAAATTATTCCTACTTTATCTCCCTTTGGTCAATTGATGGTCTGAGGTATAGGTAGGCCATCAGTCTTGACATTTCTTTCCTAGGTGTTGTTGACCTGCCTGAGGAAAATCGAGAAGCAGCCTACAATGCCATTACTTTACCTGAAGAATTTCACGACTTTGATCAGCCACTGCCAGACTTAGAGTATGTCTGTCTTTCATTTTTTGTTAGCTTTGTCTACAAAGAGCATATTACTGGCTTGCAAATGTATAGTTTTTCTTGGAATGCTTTGGCATTCAGATAAGTAAAGGAAGAGCTATCTTAACAGCTCAGATAGGAGAATTATGTACTAAAGGCAAAATGTATATAAACTGAACTGTTGTCTGGGTTCTTTATAGAAGGGCACCGGTAAACTTGTAACTTTTGCATCATGATATGTTTTTCAAAATGTACAGATTAAAATCACCTAATGATTAGTTTCTTCACTAAGCTCTACTTTGCCACATTTAAAAATAAATATAATTAATGTCACTATGAAGTGCAAGAAAGGATTGTTGCCAGAATATACGTTTGAAAACAGCAAGTTAAACAGAAATGGCCATGCAGAGTACTTTGGTATATTCCTGTCCTCTTCCCATATATTTATACTGTGGTAGAGCCCGTGACTAGCTTTTCAAATAACCATGTTGAAGAATTGATAACCAAAAACCCTCTATACCAGAACCTCACTTACAGCAAAGTTTGTTGCTGTTATTTTGTTTTTTAGTTATCTGACACTTAATTACAGCAATTTTTTAACCTAGTTCATACTGTATTAGTATTTGGCACAATCAAACTCCACTGTTGTTCTCTACTTTAAAGATGAGTGTTAACATGGGGGGAGGGGGTGCATTTTTTCGGTAGAAAAGCCAAGTAAATTTAGCTTGTTCATATAGCATGTAATTTACTTGGCCCTGGTAAAAACTCATACCTGTGTAACCTGTCATTTCTCATATTTCCCTCTATCCTATACACTTAGGTGATGAGTTTTGGAATTTATCAAATACTGAATATTAGACTTCTCTTTTTTTGGGGGGAGGGGAGTCCAGTCGAGGGCCTGAGCTCTGGGCCTGGGCTCTGTCCCTCAGTTCTTCAGCTCAAGGTTAATGCTCTACCACTTGAGCCACAGTGCCACTTGCGGCTTTTTTTTTTTCGGCTTATGTGGTGCTGAGGAATCGAACCCAGGGCCTCATGCATGCAAGGCAGGCGCTCTACCACTGAGCCACCTTCCCAGCCCATGAATATTAGACTTCTCAACTTGATGGGTTTATATATCTAAAGACAATGGGGAGTGGGAGGAGTTCCTCTTAGAAATACATTATAGTAAAACTTGAAAATAAAATATATTTGAACTTCTTTTAAAGTGACATCGATGTAGCCCAGCAGTTCAGCCTGAACCAGAGCAGAGTGGAAGAGATAACCATGAGAGAAGAAGTTGGGAACATCAGTATCCTACAAGAAAATGATTTTGGTAAAAAATTAAAAAAAATTGCTAGTCATTTGTTTTAATTATGTTTGAGACTCCTAGCAATTTCAAAAAGAAAACCAGGCTTCTTACTACATTGATTTTGACAGTTAATACTTCATCTGTTTTCAAAAAGGTTTATTGTCTTGCTAAGCGGTATATTAAACATCATCACCTATTTTTTACATACCCCTGCTTTTCATGCACAATGAAAGAACTTATATTTTTCATTTTTGTGGGAAGCCCCAACATAGAAGGTATTGCTCACATTAATCTAATCTAGGTACATTATTGTAAACACTGCTTGAAAATCTAATCATTTAAAATGGGTAGTAAGCCACATTGTTTTAACAAGTTTTAAATGTGAACACTGCTGAAAATAACATAGTTAAGATTACCTAACATTATTTATGGTAACCTAAATTTAGATCTAAGTCTGATTGTGTTAGTCATGTCCTAGGAGCATAAAGTTTAAACTAGCAGTTTTTAATATTTGAAGACAAATAAGACTTAAGCAATGTGTCTGTAATAAACCTTTTTCACTAATGACTAAAATTTGCTCAGGTGACTTTGGAATGGATGATCGTGAAATAATGAGAGAAGGCAGTGCTTTTGAGGATGACGATATGTTAGTAAGCACTAGTGCTTCTAACCTCCTCTTAGAGCCTGAACAGAGCACCAGCAACCTGAATGAGAAAATTAACCATCTAGAATACGAAGACCAATATAAAGATGATAATTTTGGAGAAGGAAATGATGGTGGAATATTAGGTAAGTCACCAAAAGTTGGTTATTGTGATTTCTTTATTCATTTGTGCTGTTTTGGAGAAGTTACTAATTATGGATATTAGAGAGTGTGTGTGTGTGTGAATTGTTTTCTGTACAACTAACCTAAAAATGGTTTTGCCTGATGTTTGTAAAGAAAAAGGTATCTGGGTTGTAAAGTTTACTGGTTCTCTTTGCACTGTACTATTGATATTTTCATTTCTAAGTAAACACATTCTTAAATATGTGCCCTAGATTTATGTAGTAATTGTTCTATACGTTTGTTTTATACTTGAAGCTTTTTTGGAAAGAAGCCTACAAATTTAATAGGTTTAAATTTAAGCCACTAATTTAAACAGTTTATTTAAATTGTATTTTGTATTTCAGATGATAAACTGATTAGTAATAACGATGGTGGCATCTTTGATGATCCCCCCGCCCTCTCAGAGGCAGGAGTAATGTTGCCAGAGCAGCCTGCTCATGATGATATGGATGAGGACGATAACGTATCAAGTGAGCATTTTTATCTTCAGTGATTCTGGGGTTGATTGTATGGCAGCCAAAAAAGGTTCACATCAAAAACTACAAACAAAAGCTGAAGTATAAACTATTAATATCCTTGAGACAGTTCTTATGGTTACTAGTTCTAATTAGTACTGTGCCCTCCCTTTTTTTGCTCATCTGAATTCAACTCTGGGGGGCTACCTTACAAATAGAAAAGTAGTTGGTTGGGGGTTGTTTTTTAGTACCACAGGTGCGTCTTTTGGGTTCAGAGAGGGATTTCTTTTTTTTGGGAGGGGGGCCCGGTCATGGGGCCTGAACTCTGGGCCTGGGTGCTGTCCCTCAGCTCTTCAGCTCAAGGCTAGCACTCTACCACTTGAGCCACAGTGCCACTTCCAGCTTTTTTCTTTTTGCTTATGTGGTACTGAGGACTTGAACCCAGGACCTCATGCATGCAAGGCAAGCACTTTACCACTGAGCCACCTTCCCAGTCACAACAGAGAGGGATTTCTATTCCATCTTTGCTAATGTATTATACATAATCCTATTGTAACCATTTGTTTTTATAGTGGGTGGGCCTGATAGTCCTGATTCAGTAGATCCTGTTGAACCAATGCCAACTATGACTGATCAAACTACACTTGTTCCAAATGAGGAAGAAGCATTTGCTTTGGAGCCCATTGATATAACTGGTGAGCAAACCTTTAGATTTATACACAGTGTACAGAAGAAAAGATTGCAGTTCTGGTCCATGGCTTCCAACTGGTATGCTACTATTGTTATTTTCTCATCTGTCATAGTCATCTATCCATCTTCATTACAATTTGAATATTTGGTAGACTATAAGTTACTATAAAGCATAAAAATATAAAGCAAGTTTTCTACTAATAACATCTTAAGTCATTTCCAGATCCTTAGGATAGTAGCAGTTCGCATGTGTAACAATTAGAAAACACCACAGGATATTTTACAATAGAGTACAAGATTAATCAGTTGTCGTCTAAAGTTCTAGATTCTATATAATTGAGCCACAATTTGGGAAAATCTAAAAATACTTTAAGAATAATGAAAATAGGCTTGAGTCTAAAATTAGTAGTCATTTTCTGTTAGTGCTTGTTGTAACACATACTGTTTAATTGGACAGCTGCTTCTGAGTCAAAAAAGAAATTTGAAATAAAAATTACAGCGCTTTTACTTTTAAGTAGGACAAAATTTAGTTTCCTACTGAGAATAACCCAATCAATGAACGTTGTAGCTTGGACTACAATGTTGTACAGAAAACTTATTGTGAATCTGGTTTTAATTTAGAACTAAAGATACATACATGTAAAAAAGATATAAAGATGAGCAAGTCTTCATCAACAATGTTAATAACTAAGGAAACCTGGACAATTAAAGCTAGATAGTAACATACCACAGAGAAAAATGTAGGTAGGATAGGTGTATGACATTGAAAGAGCCATTGAAAGAACTTGATGCTTGATGTAAGGGGAAGAGACTCCATTAGACAGGCAGTCTGTACTTCTTACAGTATTTTTTTTTTAATTAGGGATCTCATGGATGTTTTATTAAAGCTGAGATACAATGCCTCATTTTTATATTTAAATTTATAAATTTATTTTAAATTTTATGTTTATAAAATTTGTATTTACAAAAACATGAATTATAAAATAAATTAATAAAAGTCTTGAGGAATTTAGTCACAGAAGTTACTTGAAAAATTGAGCTGCTACCTGCTTTATTATAGAAAATATTATAGTATTATAGCAACTCCAATATGGAAAAATGTATGGTATATGGTGTTTCGGGTCTCTTAACAGGGCTTGAATGTGTTCTACTTTATCCAAGGACCTTATGCAATTGCCATATATGAAGTAGAACTTTTCCAGTAAAAATAATAGTACTTGTAACTATTTATGGGCACTTATTCTATGTCAGACACTAGGGGAATATTTCACAGTTGACTTTTTTTCAAACCAAAAACTGAATTTAGCAAGATAACTTTTCATGATTACATAGCAAAGAAATATCAGAACCCACAATATTATCCAACTCTTAGGCAAATGTGTTAATGCTAGTGTACACAGCACAAACGCTAAATAGGCTAAAATATATTGGCCTTTGCATTTAAAAAAATATTTTGTGCTGAAAGTCTGTACATATTTATTCATTCTGTAAATTTCTGTTGAACTCCTGTTATATACCAACCTCCATTCTAAGTGGTACTTGGAAAATGTCAATTAAAAACATTCTGCTTTTGTAAGGACTGTCTACAATGGACTGTGTAGAAAAGCAGAGGAGATCATTTGTAAGAATTAGAATGTCTACGATATTCTTAACAGGGGATCCAAATAACCCAATTGCTCTGTGACAGGACCATATATAATGAAACATTTCAACATCAAGTCCAATATGTGGAAACAAGTTATTAATATGCCCTATATGTCGTTTGTTGTTGTTGTTTGTTTTCCATTTCTCTTAGTTTTCAGTACCATGTGTTTTTATATGTAAGGGAATCACAGAAACAGCAGGACAGAGGATGTACCAATGCAGCATTGATACTCACTTTTGACACTGTGGGATAAGAACCTTACAACTTGGGGGGAAGGGAATACGGAGAGGCAAGTGGGAGTTAAATAGGGTAACAATGATTAAAAACAAGTGTATTCATTACCTTATACAACTGTAACCCTCCTGCTCATCACCTTTTCAAAAAAAAAAAAAAAGCAGAGGAGACAGACCAGATCATATACACATATACATACACACACACATATGTATATATTTATGTGTGTATGTATGTATGTTCCATGCTAGCCTTTCTAGAAAATGGCCTTTTTTCTTTTTATCTATATTCTAGTGAAAGAAACAAAAGCCAAGAGGAAGAGGAAGCTAATTGTTGACAGTGTAAAAGAGTTAGATAGCAAGACCATTCGAGCCCAGCTTAGTGATTATTCTGATATTGTTACAACTTTGGATTTGGCACCACCCACCAAGAAATTGATGATGTGGAAAGAGACAGGAGGAGTGGAAAAACTTTTCTCTTTACCTGCTCAGCCATTATGGAATAACAGACTACTGAAGGTAATTACCATTTGTGGGAATATTTTTATTTAATAAACACTTAACATGACTTAAATGTTTCTAAAAGTTTTAAATCATTTTTGATATTTTTCAAATGTATGGCACACCAACATTTTCTCAAATCCCAATATCCTGTATATAACTTTATCTGCAATATAGTGGTAAGTGACATCTACATCTAAGATATGGAATGATTTTTCTCATTACTGAAATAACCACTAACATTTTTGATAATTTCTACTCAAATGCCTATAGTAAACTTTGCTGTATTGTCTTAATATATACTACCTTCAAACATATTCTCTGGATATTGTTTTCTGAGTAAAATACAAGGTAATTTTTATTTTTTCTGTAGTAAAGATGTCTAGCTTTTCCTCATTTTGCTTCCATCCTATTCTAAAATAAGTTTCAGAGGTGCTAATTAGTGAAGCAGTGTTTGTAGGCTGTTATTCTACCTTAAGTTGGAATGTGCATATAAAAGCAAATTTTACTGTAATATGAAGCGCACCATCAGGGTTATGATGAAGCTGCTCTGTAGTGGCAGCCTTGTGCTAATCATCGTAAAGGAGGTTCTGTAAAATAGACTCATGACAATTTATAAAGAGCGTTTTAAGATTGGAGAAAGCTGTGAAGATGTAGTGAGAAACTTAAATATTAAAAGTAGGGCGAGATAGCCGGGCGCTGGTGGCTCACGCCTGTAATCCTAGCTACTCAGGAGGCTGAGATCTGAGGATCGCGGTTCAAAGCCAGCCCTGGCAGGAGAGACCCTGAGACTCCTATCTCCAATAAACCACCAGAAAACCGGAAGTGGCGCTGTAGCTCAAGTGGTAGAGCGCTCTTGAGCTGAAGAGCTGAGGGACAGCACCCAGGCCCAGAGTTCAAGCCCCACGACCGACAAAAAAAAAAAAAAAAAAAGTAGGGCGAGATAAAGAATGAGATAATTCACAATAGTATATAGCCATTTTAAACTTTAGATAATCATGACGTTTAATGAAACAGCTCAATAAAACTTTGGTATGCTTTGATATATATCTTCAGTTTGTGATTATGAAAGCTTAAAATTGAGATAAATTATTTCTGTTAATTGTTGTTACAATTTGGAAGCTTATACTTAAAATCATTTTTAAGATGAAATTGTCATTCTGATGATGTTAAGTAAAAATGCTAAGTTATATACAGTGATTTCAACTTCATTAAACTGATAAGAAATGTCGGTGAGTTTTTAGTTGGTATGATTTCTTTTATACTTGTATTTTTTTCATAGCTCTTTACACGCTGTCTTACACCACTTGTACCAGAAGACCTTAGAAAAAGAAGGAAAGGAGGAGAGGCAGATAATTTGGATGAGTTCCTCAAAGAATTTGAAAATCCAGAGGTTCCTAGAGAAGATCAACAGCAGCAGCATCAACAGCGTGATGTTATTGGTCCGTTTTGTTGGGATAGTTCCCAGATGAAGTTGAAATTAATATTTGGCTTATAGCACTTAATATTACCCTTTCTTTGCCAAAAGTAAAAGAAATGAGGAATGTAAAAGTATGCTCAAAGTTTGGGACAGGGGAATGTATTGGATTACCTTATTCAGTAAGCTTTGTCTTCAGAAAAGTTTACAGTTGAGGATTAGATGGGTTGATAGTTTGCCAAGTATTGGAGTGGAAGTGGTATTTACTCTTTGCCAGACCTTTCCTTCACCTGTATAAGTTGGATAATCTTTGTGGAGGTAAATTTTTATCTGATCTTCATTAGAGAAAGTATGTCTTACTATTACTAATTTAGAAATTAGATTGTTCTAAAATATTGTCAAAACTGCGTACCCTAACTTTTCATATAATCATTTGCAGATGAGCCCATACTGGAGGAGCCAAGCCGCCTCCAAGAGTCAATCGTGGAAGCTAGCAGAACAAACTTGGATGAGTCTGCCATGCCCCCACCTCCACCTCAGGGAGTTAAGCGAAAAGCTGAACAAATTGACCCAGAGCCAGTGATGCCTGTAAGTAAGCAAAGCATTGGAAGTTATTAGTACAGGTAATAACAAGTGGTATTGAAGGAGCTCTTAAGCGTATTGTTTTAGGCAGGAAATGGTAAGTCTGAGTCCTTCCCATTACCACACTGGGAAGAATGTGAACTGAAGATAGGAGCATAGTCTACCTGAGTGGAAGATACTAGGGTCCCATTTCTGTCTACATCAAGAGGCATGAGCAGAAGAAAATTAGTTGGCAATTCTAAGAAACTAGTTCTCTGGCCCCCTGGTGAGAAGCCATCAGTTAGGAGCCTTTTTCTGCCTAGGCATGGAAATAGGTAGTGGTAGGTGACTAATACTACTCTCCTGTGATGCTTTTAACTATTAAGCTCATAAGGGAAGGAATACAGAAAACATGTTTAGAAATAGTCTCCTATTCCCTGTGTTACTTGCTGTCATACAGTTCCAAAGCTTTGAGAATAAAAGCTTAAGATTATATATTACTGTATGATAGTTTTATAACAATTCTATCCAGTAATTCTGAACTAGTTCACATTTTTTTTGTCATGAGGGTCAATAGGTTATTTGTGTTTTTTTCTAAACTATTCATGGGAAAGCTTGCTTCCATTTTTGTCTGGTTTCTTTTTAGTTGTTCAAAAATTTCTTGGAATTGAGGAATATATGACTTCTAAAAAGAACAATAACACTTTTTAGCGTAATCATTAACTATTTGTTTGATGCTGTTACTTTGCAACTTGAAAAAAAACTGTCAGTTTTGAGACTAGGAAAGGAGAGAGATAAAACCACAGTATTTTTCAGCTGGAAAACTTGTATTGTTATTCGATATTTGAAAGTAACCATTGAGGCTGTCTTACATTGTCTTATTTTTATTGTCTTAAGCCTCAGCAGGTAGAACAGATGGAAATACCACCTGTAGAGCTTCCCCCAGAAGAACCTCCTAATATCTGTCAACTAATACCAGAGTTAGAACTTCTACCAGAGAAAGAGAAGGAGAAAGAGAAGGAAAAAGAAGAAGAGGAAGAGGAGGAAGTAAGTAAACTAAATTCCTGATAAATACCTGTTCCAGATTTATCAATAGTCTTGACCCCCTTTTACTTTTTGTGTTAAATTTAAGTTGATACTAGACATCAGAGAGATGAAAAGTGTTCACACGGAATTAAAACTTAACTAAATTCCTAAAGTGTCATAATTCTTCATTAGTAGATCAGATTTTGTGTGCTGTAATTCATGGGTTTCCTTGTAGGTTTTTGAAGGACACAGGAATTCCCTTACATTTACTTGTTGATTGAGTTTTAAATTAGTATAGTTTGTACTATCTTATGATCAATGGCTAATTTTTACTGCTGTTGTCATAACATGACTCCATTAAAGTAGTTTTGGTAAGGCCTTCAATGCCTTTTATCTTTTAAAAAGCTAGAGCTGCTCTAAAACTGAATTTACTTTTTTCATGGACTGTTTTTTAACTAAAGGTAAAACAGTTGTTGAGGTAATAGTATGATTGAATTTATTCTTGATGCTCTATTGTATATTTAAATCTTTTAAGATGTCTTTCTGGTAATAATGAAGCTTTAAATTTTTTCCAAGAACTGGGAAGGTGGCTCAGTGGTAGAGTGCTTGCCTTGCATGCATGAGGCCCTGGGTTCAATTCCTCAGCACCACATAAGCAAAAAGAAAAAACCCGGAAGTGGCACTGTGGCTCAAGTGGTAGAGCGCTAGCCTTGAGCTGAAGAGCTGAGGGACAGCGCCCAGGCCCAGAGTTCAGGCCTCACGACCGGACCCAAAATTTAAAAAAACATATATATATTTTCCAAGATTAGTAGTTACAGATTCAATACATTTTTATTAGCATTTATTCATACTTTTAATTCACTGTAGTCAGCCATAGATAACAGTTGGTACTGTGTTAAAGCAAATTTTAGTTTCACAATTGCTCAATCTAAATGCAGCTGTGTGACATTGTCTCAGACTTAGTATTTAGGTCAATATTAAAAATGGTGTTTTCTGCAGACCCCTGCCTGGGTTTTTGGAATGTGGTTGGTATGTAATGCCCACACAGCTGAGGATATGTACAACCTCTGCCTGACACCAGCTTCAGAGTTCAGAGAATCATTTATGCAGTGGGTCTGAATTAAAATATGGACTAAGAATTATAGTCCATTTCTTTTAATATGCCATATACGCCAATACCAATGCCAATTTTGAGGTTCTTCAGTATTGGTCCACAATGATGCTAGGAGCTTGCCAGAATAGATTTAATCTATGAAATCATACTTTAACAAACGTTGGATGCTGGTGGTGCTGAGGCTTATAATTGTAGCTAATCAGGAAGCTTAGAACTGAGGATCACAGTTTGAAGTCAGCCCAAGCAGGAAAGTCCATGAGACTCTTAAGTTCCAATTAACCACCAGAAAGCCAGAAGTGGAGCTGTAGCTCAAGTGTAGAGTGCTAGCCTTGAACAAAAAGTTCTGGCACAACACCCAGCCCTAAGTTCAAGTTGCAGGTCTGGCACCAGAAAAATAAATGTTAAGCATTTTTAGGAGATGTAGAAATATTTTATTTTGCATCAAAGCAGTCTTTCATCTTTTGGGGGATATTTTCATTCAGGATGAAGATGCTTCAGGGGGTGATCAGGATCAAGAAGAAAGGAGATGGAACAAAAGAACTCAGCAGATGCTCCATGGCCTTCAGGTATACCAGTATAAGAGAAAAATACTTCATCTAGTATTTTTGGCCTTGTTGATAACTGTTAGGCCAAGAGTATGTCTAGAAATTCAGAGACTTTTCACCGTTATTTTAAAGAAAAAAACAACCAGTCAGGTGCTGGTGGCTCATGCCTGTAATCCTAGCTACTCAGGAGGCTGAGATTTGAGGATCACGTTCCAAAGCCAGCCCGGGCAGCAAAGTGCATGAACCTCATATCTCCAGTTAACCACCAGAAAATTGGAAGTTGTGCTGTGGCTCAAGTGGTAGAGTACTCGCCTTGAACTGAAGAGCTGAGGGACAGCACCCAGGTCCAGAGTTTAAGCCCCAGGACCGACAAGAAAAAAAAAAAACCAGACCTGTGGTAGTATATTTGTAAGTTTGCATCTGTTTTGGTTGAGTGAATTTGATGTGTTGATTTATTATATACCCTCAGATGTCATTATCCCTGGATCGTAATGTCCAGTGGAGAGAAGTTGCTCAATGTGTCCTAGAAAATAGATTCATTAGGGAATTGTTGATACTTCAAAATTCAAAAGACATGAATTCACCATTCTGTCACACTAGATGGATGTATGAAGAAATGACTTGCTCAAATAATATGTATTGTAGCAAATTTATTCATTAGTTTCTTAAGCTTTGCTTGCTTTTAAACATAGTATACATGAGGTCACAACAGATTCAAAAAGCACAAGCCCAGTCCCAGGAGAATACATAGTTTACGTTTTCCAGTACCAAATAGGCTTCATTTTTCAGTTATCACTGTGCTATAATTTACTTTGTCTTTTTTTTCCAGCGAGCCCTTGCTAAAACTGGAGCTCAGTCTATCAGTTTGCTTGAATTATGTCGAAACACAAACCGAAAGCAGGCTGCAGCGAAATTCTACAGCTTTTTGGTTCTTAAGAAGCAGCAAGCTATTGAGCTGTCACAGGAGGAGCCTTACAGTGATATCATTGCAACACCTGGACCACGGTTCCATATTATTTGAGGAGCTAGTGTTCATACACTAGTGAATTCAAATTGCCCCCCGTGTGTAGGGCACACAAAACCCTTTAAGAGAATTGTTAGATTTTTGTCTGTATAAAATATCTGCATTTTCTTTTTTCATTTTTTCCAGTAATTTTAATTTGCCCATTTCATCATTAAAGGAAACTGCTTATAGGAACTAAGACCCAGAACATTATTTTAACTACTTTCAGAACAGAAGTGTGCAATCTTGGTGCACTAAGTAATACTGAATAACAGTCAAAAGTCATTACTTTTCATCTTAATTCTCAATTACTGTGTTGAAAAGGAAAACCTGACATTTGAATTAGAAACTGTGGTGTCCATCCTTTTGACTAGAAGAGACAACTCTTTCCATCAATAAAAGCAACAGTTTGATTAACCCAGATCCTGGGCATAGTACCTGAAACAGTAGAAACCTTGCGACTTTCAGCATTAGTTCCCTAAGGAGCACAAGTATGTAAATTTGCACTGAGCCTTACTGACCTTTGGCTATCAAAAAAAAAAAGGTTCCACTTGGTTTAGATCATTGTGGTTTGCCAATCATTCCATTTAACCTTTTTTGGTAAATTTTACTGTCCCAAATTATGTTGTCTTAGTGCAGCTCCATAATAAGTAAAAATGGGCTTGGGACTGTTAAAGCATTTCTAACTTTCCAGGAGCTATAAACCAGATTTAAAGATGTTTTGAGTATTCAGATCATCAAAATAGAAAATTCCCTAAAGGGACATAACGATGGAAAATTAAACAGGTTGACTTAACCTTTAAGCAAACAATGCTGTAAAAACTAATGGCTTCTCTGATATTTATTACAAATGTTAGTACCCATCTCTTTCCAGTGCTGCACACTCCTCTGTTTGGAATTCTTCAATAGCTCTTTGCTGAAATCCTATATTTGGTTTCCTATAATTTAAGAAAAACAGATCCAGGTAAAAGCTGTATTATTAACAGACCAGATAGTACCACAAATTATATGACTATTATAATTATCAAAGCACGACTTAACTTTTTAGGGAAAAATTATACTGAAAAGTTCTGGCTTAAGTCTTGGCACTTTTGTGGGAAAAATAAAATCACTTAAAATTCAGACTTCCATGTATACCCAGTAATTTAAAATTGTGTGAAATATTTTGAATTTGTGAACTCGTAATTACTGTTTTAATAATTCAGTTTAAGGATGGTAATTGTTTAAAATTGCTATTGAAGTTTTATTTTCAATATGATGTGCCTGTAAACCATGGGTTTCCCCCTTGTAAAAAGACATTGTAGATAATTGAATGTTTGATTATAGAAAGGTCATTAGTTTGTTACACATTTTGTTAGTCTGGTTTTTGTTGCTTTTTGGGTTTAATATTGTTCTTGAAAATAGTTGATGCTATGTTATGTATAACTTTTCTAATAAAAATTGTGTTTATAAGCTGTACATTTTGGAGAATTTTTCAGTTAGTGGTTTCCCCGGGGAAGAGTTGTGTGGGAAAGTTAACATGGCAGAGTGCCTCTTTTGTTCACTTTATTTAGAATAACTGTTGGTATGGAGTGAGTTTTAGAAGTTACATTGTACACAAGACCTAGTGTCTTTGCAGTCAGTAAGGGGATTCTAAACCTCCACAGGGTGCCTAAAGCCCGAGTACACAAAATAAACTTCTCAGACTTCATACACTTTATATTCTGTCATGAAGACAAATAATGATAAACTAGGATTGAAAATGTGGAACAAGTTGCAGAATTTAGTGATAGGGTAGTTAGGAAGGGTATCTTGAGGAAGGTCAAGTTCTGAGAAGTGAAAAACCTGAAGGCATTTGGAAGATGTAAAGGGGTTGAATAGAGAAAAGGTGAGCTCCACCTATTAAAGACCAGTATGGCTACACTGTGGTTAGTAAAGCCACTTGGTACTTCTGGAACGTGTTTTTACTCTGATTAAGGTAACCCAGTCTTGCTTTCCTTTCAGATTCCAGCTGAAGTATATGTTCCTCAGGGACAGTTCTGATTCATAATCCATTTCACACTAGGTCAGGTTTTCTTACTAAATGTCCTTATAACTTAGCAATACTTTTCTACCATCCTAAGAGGGGATTTCAAATGTTTAACATCTAAGCAAACTACATACTGTTTAATGAATGGCAAGAGGTCTAAATCACCAGGGAGAAAAATCCCTACCCAAACTCAGATAATACTACCTAGAAACTGTGCCTGTGTAGGAAGGTGGCTCAGTGTTAGAGTGCTTGCCCTGTATGCTTGAGGCCCTGGGTTCTATTCCTCAGCACCACATAAGCAGAAAAAGCCAGAAATGGCGCTGTGGCTCAAGTGCTAGAATGCTAGCCTTGAGTTTAAATGCTGAGGGACAGTGCCCAGGCCGAGTTTCAAAGTATGATATTTAGAAGTGATATGTAACCTACAGTTAATGTATTTTACGTTGTTTCCTCATGATTCTTGAAACTATCTTTGAAAAAAAGTTGACACACAATCAAATTAGACCTCTCTGTATAAAAAATAAAAATTGAGATACTATCCAGTTTAAGACCTCCCTGTAGAAAATCACAACTTACATCATGTACATCTGGATTTAAAGCTCAACTCTGCCCCATGACTAGCAGGCCCTATGCACATGTTCACCTTTCTGAACCTTAGCTGCTTTGTTAAGGGCTGAATGAGATACTAATTGAAAGCCATCAGTAATCAAGCCAGGCCTATATTACCTAGAGAGTCTTGAAGGTGTTTATATCCCTGTAAGTTCTGTTAAATTCACAATATCAAATCAGAGGGTCTACTGTAAGATCATTTTCTCTAGATTTTTCATGTATGAAATCATTAGATCATTTATATACTGGAAATTTTATGAGGGCTTTTTAAAATTCATCATTTGTATTCTGAGCTACCTGAAAGTAGAGGTAGAAAGATCATGATCTGTGGCTAACCAGAGCAAAAGGCAGGAAGAGACCTTATCTGAAAAGTCGGTATTTGGGGCATGGGAAGGGAGAAGCCCTGATACTGCAGTTCAAACTCCAGTACCACCAAAAAAAAAAGTTTGTCTTTCCTAAAATTAACAAGCCTAGCCCAGGTTTACATGCAGGGAAGATTCCCAGCCTGTGTTTATTGATTGTAGAAGTCAGTACTTGGCCTCTCCCAAGGAAGGAGGCCCCTCGAGCCTCAGTGGGGAACAGCAACTTTGCAAATAAGGATCTCTTCTAACTACCTTTTCATGTTGTGAGTTGGCAAAAGTGAAGACAGGAAGTTGAGTTTTGACACATAATTGTGGTTATTTGTGGGTTAGAGTGATATTTCTGGGTGTGTGTGTTGTATAATAATGAAATTGGTGGGGGAGGGGAGTTACGTGTTCCTTACTTAGTATATTTTTTCCTGGAGTTCATTTCAACACGTACACAGAGGCACATACGTCTTGTGCCTTTGTGTTCTGCTAAGAGCATATTACTTTTTAACTATAGTTATGCAGCTATGTAAAAGGTCAGAAGTTGTTTCTCCTCTCTAGCTCTTCATCTCTCCCCATCCTGTATGAGCAGCTTCTGTTGACGTCACAAAGGAGATCATGTAGCATTTGGCTTTCTCTGCCTACCTTATTTCACTCGGTGTCTTCTTCCTGGCTCCTCAACTGCCACAAACATCCAGACTGCATCCCTTTTTATGGCTGAGTAGTATTCTGTTACGTATGCATACCACATTTTCTTCTGTATCCATTTATCCACTGGTGGGTAATACCAGATCTTGGCTACTGTGGGTTAGGAAGTGTATTTCAAGACCATTTCCCCTTTGCTACCTTTCAGCTGTGCTGCAGGTCGTGGATATAAATGATGGCAACTAGAGACCTTGTGTAATAGAAGGTGGGGAGGGTCCCTGAGAGTGAGAGGGAGGGCAAGCACAGCACCTGGTAAAATTTCAGCCACATTTGGACATAGGAAAGGACAGGTAAGGAATTAGTAAACAGGGACACTCAAATGCTGTTGTTGGGGATGTATAGTCAATACAGAAGTGAGTCTGGAGGTACCACAAAATAAAACCAAAAATAGCAGTATGTTAAAACATGTATATTGCACCAGTAATACAATAGCCAGCTGTGTCCACTGACAACTGAAAGAAAATGTGTCAGCTAGGAACCATTGGCTCATGCCTGCAAACCTTCCTACTTGGGAGGCTGAGATCAGAAGATCACAGTTCAAGGCCAGCTGTGCAGAAAAGCTCTGATAGGGCTGGGAAGGTGGCTCAGTGGTAGAGCACTTGCCTTGCATGTATGAGGCCCTGGGTTCGATTCCTCAGCACTACATAAGCAGAAAAAAAAAAGCCGGAAGTGGTGCTGTAGCTCAAGTAGTAGAGCGCTAGCCTTGAGCTGAAGAACTGAGGGACAGCACCCAGGCCCAGAGTTCAGGCCCCACGACCGGACCCAAAAGCAAAACAAAAAAAAAAGCTTTGATACTCCAGCTCCAAAATCACCAGAAAAGGCTGAGCTGGATGTGTTTCTGAAGTCGTACAACTGGATGTGTTTCTGAAGCAAGTGCAACACTGTAAATGCAAACCCTGTTATCAGCAAAAAGAAAATGTGAATATTAATACACAATGGAATAGTATTGCAGGCATGAGTCACTGGCACCCGGCAAATAATAACTGTTCTTACATATGGAAGCCAATAGATTGATCTGGAAGTGGGGAATAGAAGAGTAGTTAGCAGAGCCAGGCACCAGTGGCTCACAACTGTAATCCTAGCTACTCAGGAGGCTGAGATCTGGGGATCACGGTTCAAACCCAGCCTGGGAGGAAACTCCATGAGACTCTTAGCTCCAATAAATCACTAGAAAACGAGAAGTGGCGCTATGGCTCAAGTGGTAGAGCGCTTGCTTTGAGCTAAAAAGCTACGGGATAGTGCCCAAGCCCAGAGGTCAAGCCCCATGACCAACAACAAAAAAAGAGCAGTTAGCAGAACCTGGGAAATGTAGAGGAGGGGATAGAGGATGGTAAGTGAGTAGAAGGGCTGGAGAAGAGAAATAACTGCTAAGGTTCTATACCACCAAAGAGTAACTGGATAATTATAACTGAATATTTCAAAATCATTAGTAAAGAAGATTTTGTACATTCCTGACCAAAAATGATACATTTCTGAGGACAATGCATTATATATACATGGTATTTGGCTGTTAGACATTATATATACATGTGATATCTATGCATTCATATCACACCATGCTACATCTGTATGGACAGTTATATATATATATATATGTATATATATATACAATGATTGTAAGACAAAATGGAATAAGATAATTTAAAAAATAAGATGATTTAAAATTGGTTTTTTGTAACATTGCTTAAGTCAATAAACTTGAACATATTCAATGTAGTTTCTTTTTGATGATAAACTATGTAAACCAAACTAGCCTTAAACTCCCTGTTTTACCCCAGGCCTTGAAGTCTGTCCTCCTACCATGGCCTCTTGAATGCTGGGACTACAGGCATTCATTAGCACTCCTGGCTCAAGCCTCATAGTTATGGCTTCTGTTGAATCAACTCTGGACCACAAGGAAAAGTCATTTGTGCCCCCAAAGCAGGGTACCTGGGCCCTTTAGTGCTGCCTCAGAAGCAACATACTGGCTGTTTAGCAACACTATTAATTTTTCCCAAGGTCTTTAGAGACAAAAGGAACATTTTAGGTCTCCCAAGCCACACAAGGTAGGGATTCCCAGAGGCTAGCAAGCCCATCAGTGTGGACCATTGTGTCTTGTAAGCCTGAAAGTTAGCCCAGGAATCTACATCGCACTGTTTCTGATACAGGCAAGTAATTCTTTGGTGGCCATTTTCACTTCCAGAATTTAGCATCATCCTCAGAGTTACTATTTCAAATGTGGGCCAGGCATCTGGAGCCCCCATTGCTGGGAGGCAGTGCCCTCTGTGATCAGCGATTAATTATACTCCAGGACTAATTAGTTCTCCATTGGCTAACAGCTGTTCAACAGGAAACGTGTACGGTTCAAGGATGGGGCCATGCTCTCCAAGTTGAGCACGCTGGTACGTGTTATTTCCAGAAGACATCTGCCCGGGGGGCTCTTGTGTCCCATTCTAATTATCCCAGCTGCTGATGACAGTCTCCTAAGAGCTATGAAAATGAGTAAGGGCAGAATCAGTGCACCATAGTGGTATCCACAGTGAACCCTCAAAACAGCAGCACAGCTTCTCCTTAGGAAGTGAGTTAAACCTCATGCTGGAGATGGGATTGGAAGAGGAAGAATGAGAGTCCACCATCATCAGCTCTTCCTCTAACTAGAAACCATGGTGAATGTCTTAACTTCCCAAAGTCTTCCAAGGACATTTGTACAACCCCTGTGATAATTAGCTAACATAATTCAAGGAAAGTTCTGAGCGTGGTGTGTAGCCTGTAGGGGCTGCTCTAGGACTCCTAACTGGTTTTCAGGTCACAAA